CCCCCCCCTCTCTCTCTCTCTCTCAAACTTTGATGCACCAACAATTTTGATGTCTTTAGCTTGAATCTTCACTTGCTCATTGTACTAGTTTTCAGAAGAGTTAACTTGAATCAAACCAAGCCTTAGAGATGGGAAAAGGTTTTCAAAATGTTTAATTTTCAAGATTTTCAACAAAAAAAAAATCTTCATAATTTTGTGTTTTTATTTATATTTTCTTGAATTTTATCCACTTTTTTTTTCTTGATGCTCATAAATACACGTGGCCCTAACTATGAAATGCTTACCCAAAAGTTGTCATTGAAGACTTGCAAACAGTTTGGACTTCTATGAAGACTAAGAAACCCAATTATATCACGAAACATACAAGTTTAAATTAGAAAATAAATAATTGTTGCAGTCAAACTTCAAAAGCTAAAACTTTATTATCATATGAATGGAGTTATGCAACACATATCATGTCAAAAGAAAATTTGCAACAGCTTCACTGTTTGTTGCTTTGTTTTTTTTTTTTTTTGGCATTTTTCGATTGTGATAAGGCAAACTCCAAAAGAAGTTCATTGAAAATTCAATTATGTACGTCGACAATTATTTCAATTTATAATTCTCTCAAGGTTATGGTGTCGTTCTAGTTTAAAGTTTAAACTTCAAAAGTTGACATGAACGGACTAATATTATTGACTACGAAAATTTGACAGTTAAATTTATCTGATACTGAAGATTTCTATTGTAGTTTTCAAAAATAATGTTCATCTGAAAGAACATACAATCCAAGTATAAATCTTGTTGGAATTAACGATAGATGATAGGTAGTCGATATCTTTTAAATTGTATCAGACACAATGTTGCTAGTGCACAGTGGCAGAGCAATGGGGGAGGGGTGGCGGCTAACATTTGAATTTTTTTTAATTTATGTAAAGATCTTTGAATTTTTTTAATACATACAAAATACATGTATATTCTCCACATGTTCTTTATTTTTGTGTCTAATTAATATTTCTCTCGACAAAGATCATGTGGACAAATAGAGGAATTCATGTCAATTCCCAACAAATGAGGAGATATATGAATGTGAAATTCTTATCTTGAATACTTTACATTATTTCAGACATACTACATGTGTTGAATTATTAATTGTGATATTAATTATATTTATGTTATTTGTAGCAAGAGGTGGTGCTTCTTGAAAATCTTGCAAACCAAACTGTAGACTTTGAATTCAGAATTTACAAATTGGACCTAGTAGTTGAATTATAAGTAGAATTATTCGACAATAATCTTCTTGTTGATATCACTCGAATTAGTAAAGTCAAATATATATTTATTGAACCCGTGGAGTAGAGTGTTAGTTATGCTAATCGAAGTGACATCGAGGGAGATGGAGTCGAGAGTCATTTTACATGTGATCGCAACCCAACCCATGTGAATTGATCCCCACGATATAGATTCAATAGGTAAAAACAATTTATTGGTTAATAGGAGAACTATCATGTTGGGGTTTCTAATATTTTCATCCCTATGTGTATCATAGTGTAATTAGTTGTGTAACCACTTCATGACATACAAAAGGGTGAATTTTAAAACTAAGAAAGCATGTTATGAAGTTACATTGCATAGTATTGCTCAAAAATATTCACTTGCATAATTTCTACTATGCAAAGATTTTATATCTGTTTCGAGTGTCATATTTTAGTATGAGCTTAAACTTTAATGGATGTGAACAAAGTTGTGCTTATCCTAGGGAATGTTGACTATTAGAAACATTAGACACTGGACACGTACAAAATTTATCCATCAATCACGAACTATGAAAAAATACCTTATTGTGGAAAAAAGTGTCCTTTCTAGTGAAGTTTCACGTATTTCAAGTTTTGGTTGCTTTTTAGTCGAAGTTGACTAGGAGACATTTTTAATATAAAAACGTTTATCTTCTACACAAATTTTCAAATGTGCAAGTCGAACGCATTTTTCCCAACAAACGTTTACCTTATGCATAATTTTCATAATAGTAAAAGACATGTTTTGATACTTTTGCAAGTCTACTCCCATATCATGTTAGATCGAGTAATTTTATTCACACTATTACACCACATTTTAATTATCCTTAATCTTCGCTCATTGTAACACTCGAGACCTCAATTTTTTTTCGTCACATTCTTATCCACAACATTCCATTAGCTAGCACGTCTTATCTTTGATAATGATTTTCATCCAAAAATTTCATTGAAATAGCGTAACATGACTTATTTTCTATCATGTTTTAACAATAAATAAATAAATACAAAAGTATCAATAATATTTCTTCTCATATCAAAGCACGCAAACAACATAGTTCATCCAAAACAATCATCGACATCGAGATGTTCTACTTAATAAAAGGTTGAAGAGACGATAAAAAAATTAGGGACATAAATGCTATAATGAGCAAATATTGAAGATCTGAGTTGCAATTAAAATATGATACAACGAATAAAAATTAAAATATTAATATAATTACCAATTATATTAAACTATCTCATTTAGTGAATAAACTTTCAAATAAAATAGTACGACCCAACGTGCCAAAATTGGATAGTTTATTAGGAAAATATATGTTGACATTATGGTGCTCCCAATGGGGAGGACAAAGGCATGGATTATTGAATCTAAGTTTTGTGATACAAAATAATATAGTGGTTTAAAGGACAAATAAAGCACATAGAAAGTATAATAACCTACCCATTGATTGAATTATTTTCCCTTTAATCCATGGCCGGCAGCACTAAAAGTGGCAAAATTTGCCCGAATTTCTCACCTCTGTTCTTGAGAAAGCAAAGCTAGCATTGTACTAGAAATTAGTCATTTAAAATCCCTAGGATTTCGAGTCTAAGATCATCATTCATTTAAGCATAGTAGACTATGTTGTATGTGGATTGCATTGGGACTAGGAATGGTATCAAATTCTAGATTTTTATCAAAAAAACCTAGGCAAGAATTGGAACGTGTTCAATTGTTCACAAAATACGTAGTCATCATCTACCTGGAACATCTCGAGAAGGGTAGATAAAAGAAACTTGTTACCGACTATACATTAGGACCCTTGACACTCACCACAACCTTCTAATGATGATAACGTGAGAATAATGTTTATAGCCCAAAGATATTAATATCAAGGATATTAGAAGTGCAATAATACATACGTGGGAGGTAGAAATCTCAAGATCATTAAATTTGTTCGTGAAATACACCATCTTTGTCATCCGTGACAACTGAAGAAGGACAACTAAAAGTAATCTTGTTATCGATTATACATTAGGACTCTTGACGTTCACCACAGCCTTCTACGAATGTAGTAATAATCTGTATAGCACAAATTTTTGTATGTGGGTGAAATGATACATGCCTTAAAAGTAGAAATCTCAATATCATTAAATTGGATAAACTTTTCCAAAACGAGATTAGAAAAAATAAAAGCATGCTAGAAATTAGAATACGAGATTGCTTCACAAATTCATTTGTTTAGGAGGCACGTGTGCTACGTGCACGTGTCTTTCACAAACATTCTCAAATCTTTGGACCACTTGACTTTTTATTATATAAATGTAGTAAACATGAGTATTCCCCAATTTGGATAAACATAATTATAGAAGCTCGTAAAGAAGATATGTATTGTAATCTATTAATTCATTATGAACGTGGTCTCCGTATATTTCTTTTGTAGGAATCTTTATAAAAGTATAATAACTTTTTCTCTATTATTATTTTTAAAAAAAGTAGTATTTATAAAGTTACCATTAACCAACTTTTGAAAATCAATTCTTCGAGAAGTGTCATTTTTTACCGTACCTCCGGCCCCTATGTTAGGCGGCAATAATATTTTGTTACGTTCTACCGTTGTTCGTGTGATTAAAAGTAGGAAAACATTATAAAACAACGTAAAAAATGATTTATTTGAAAGAGTGGAAGAGATAACAAAAATCAAATCAAACAAGCTAATATTCGAGTAGCTAGATAAAAACCATGTCATCATTTTTTATTTACGTAATACCCATTGGACCATAAAATATTTGGTAATAAGGCCCAGTATGTAAGAACACCAAAACAATGGCCCAACAAGGAGGAGGTATATGGCAGCCTATGTCGATTTCTTTTCTGAAAAATAGGACATGGAGAAGTTGATTTAAAGTGCATACCATGTTCAACGAAGGTTAATTAGAGCTTAAGCGATACAAATGAAATTGAGGAGCAATCTAAAAACGGGATTTGTTATCCAAATGGGGGCTTAGTCGTTAGTTTAATTAGATAAAATTCTCTTTTCTCAAATTGGTAGTTCATAAAAATTTATATTCTTAATTTCGATACTCATGCGCACGGTCCTTGTACGAACAATACTTATTATTATTTTACTTGTCACAATTTAACGAACAAGCTTTTACAAAAAGACATCATACAAGAGCTTTAAGAACATATAATAACTACTTGCATTAGTAAAGCAAAAACCAAAGCAGCTACAAGATGAAACATCACAGGCTATAGCCATTTTGGAGCTACAAAAGCAATCAAATCTACCTCCATTTGCATGTCACATGAATAGATACAGAATAATTGTTCAAAAACTTAACATCTAAGAAACCGCTGGCAACGAAGTTTTATCTAAGGCGGCCACGAGCAGTAGCAGCAGCAGCAGCAGCAGCAGCAGCAAAATAAACATGAATGAATAAATGAAAATTTCCTCTTCACGGCCTCCCTCTCACCGCAGTACTCTCACGCTGGTTGCGGAAGTGACTAAGAAGCTGTTGTGCCTGCTCGAACAAGAACAGAAATAATTTATTTTTTCCATCAGCCGTGCCAATATGTGTCAATTAAGTAACTTCACTCCAACCCCCGAATTATAAAGAAAAATAGGGAGAATAATCTGTCCACGACATTTCTTCTTAAAAGCGACAAACTGAAAGGAAGATAGCCACAAATTTGTACGTGTTTGGATTTATTAGAGGAAAGCTAGAGAAGGAAACTAAATGGAATTACATACCTTCTCCTTTGCTCTTGGAGAGCCAGATTGAGACAATGCGACAAGAGGTGGGACAGCTCCTTCTTGTAGAACACTCCGACAACAGCTAGAACTATTAATGCACAGTTGTAGAAGTATTGAGGCAGCATTTTCCTTTCCTCGTTGAGATCCCATGTCAACAATTTCAACCAGTAATGGTATACCCCCTTCTCGAGCAATAGCTGAGCATCCTTCTTTGATAGTAGACAAATTTGAAAGAAGAGCCACAGCTTTATCAACCATTTCTGTTTCAGGAGCCATCAACCCAACCAGATATTTTACTGCTCCTGCCTGAACTATACGAGCCTTATTCTCATGAAAGATAGATAGGTTAAATAGGGCAGTTGCAGCGTCTTTCTTCCCTCTCAGTGTACCAGATCCTAAAAGATTAACCAATGCTTTAACTGCCCCCGATCGGCCAATTTTTATCCTGCACTCATCCAGAAGAGAGAGACTGAAAAGAGCAGCTGCAGCATTTTCCTTGGCTCCAGCATTTCCAGTTCTCAAAACATGGATAAGGGGTTCAATTGCGCCTTCTTCTGCAATCATAACCTTGATCTTTTCATTAATTGATAAGTTCAAAAGCGCAGTGACCGCATGCTCTTGGGTTAGCTTCACATCTGAGTGCAACAGTGATATTAATGGAGCAATGGCCCCGCTGCAGCCTATAACAACACGGTTCTCATTGTCATGCTTAGCAAGAAACCTCAATTCTTCTGCAGCAGCTGTCTGTACTTCGGTCGATTCACTCTTCAACTCTTTAATGAGTTTTTCAACATGGAAAGTAGAAGTCGAAGCATTAGAACCCGATTCAGATGAAAATGAGTGTACTCTAGAGGGGTTGTGTTTTCCATTCACCACCATTTCGGACATTGTTTTTGAGCTGTGATACAGTTTTGCAGATAAAGAAAGAGAAACCCCAGAATTTCGATTTGATGTAGGTGTGAGACATATATCCCTTGATCTGTCACTCATATCATCCTGCTTACTTGATATCCTTGAGGTATCAGTAGATGCTACAGGGAGATAATCAATGCTGGAAACAGCACTTGATGCTGATTCGCTCCTACTGTGTACATATGAATGTTCGGGGGATGAGTGGTCAAACTTTTCAGCCGTCTTGTCCCCCGAAACACCAAATCTTTCATCCTTGAGTCCAGAAGCACCATCAACCTTCAGCTTCTCAAAGCCATGTCTGATTTCAAAAGAGGATCTTGATGTTGAATTTATCCTTTGTAAAGAACATTGGAGATCATCTTCATGATTGATATGTTCAGGCTGAGATTGAACAGCGACAATATCAGCACCCCCAGGGTTGTTCGAGACATTTATTTTGTTTTCCTCACACCAATTTGCTACAAGAGCTTTAACTGTATAATTGGGGATAAGATTGCTGTGTGAGAGTTTTTGACCAGTTTTGGGACAAGTTTTTAATCCATGATCTAGCCATTTTTGTATGGAAGCCCGCTCGTAGGTTTGCCCAGAAGCAACAATAACTGGATCCAGCATGATTTCCAAAGATAAAGGACAGCGGAAATATGAGGGGATCCGAATGTTGTTCATGGCCTCAAAGTTCTCGAGCTTAACCACACAATCACGAATGTGAGACATAGACTTCATGGTACGAGATATTTGATTCAAATCCCCTTTTGTTTGATTTTCTTCAGCTTTCATTCTCTCCTTTTCCAATGCAATAAACTCACTGAAGAGTTCCTGATTTGAGGTCAAGTTGAGGGTCTTAACTATTGACATGAGATAATCAGCACGAGGAGTTATCCCTTCATTTTGGTTTCTAAGAATCTCTTCTATGAGTTCTGATACTTTGTCTAGCTTCAGATTTTGAGATTCCTGCTTACAGAACTGAAACAGGAAAAAAATAAAAAATAAAAAACAAATATCAGATGCACGGGTATTATCAAGAGCAACCCAGCCAGTAATGCTATAGAGATGAGAACGTGGCCGGTGAAGTTCCTGGTTGCTTTTCATCCATGTTTGCCCCACTATTTCAGACTTCAGAAATAGAGTAGGGGCTTACTGCTTTTATCCTCCCGCAGAGGGGGCCAGGGGGGAAATGATCCTTACCTGAGCAAGGAGCTAGTCTTACTTTTTATAGTTAATTAAGTATTCTCTAACTGCATCCCTACCTGAGCATCAGATAGACTCGAAGTAGACGGTAATTCAACTAGTTCACATAAAATGGAAGATATCTTCACTGAGGATATCTGGATTTTCAGGATAAAGGGCTTGCTTTGCAGAACCTGAAATATAAAATAATATTAAAAGAAAAAGAAAGGAACTGTAAGCTTGCAAAATTATTAAAATAACATTATCCCCGCCTTATCTTGGATTTGTAACAATGTTGAAAAAAACAATAAAAATTCAGGATAAAATAAGGACATCACATAAGTTCTTCAATTTCTTCTCCAGAACTATCGGTATTCAAATGGAGACGCAGATTAGTTAAGAATAGATTATGATTCCTCACATAACTAGTTACCAAAAATCCATTGTTTATAGCTAATGGACTTAAATTTTGAAAGTTTTAAAGCATACTGAATTAGCCTCCATTTGGGAAGAATCTATGAATGGTTTAATTTACAAAATAGATAGGAATGAGTGGATGAATAAGCAGATACTATTTGTAGGTCCATTAAAAAATGTGGTTCAAAATAACCTTGAAAGGTTGCTCAATTGGTCAGGCCTTGAGTTTACTCCCCAATGGTCACCAATTCGAGTAGCCTCAAGCCATTGAGGTGAGTATCCGGTCGTAAACTTCAGGTCCCGAGGAATTAGTCGAGGTGTGCGCAAGTTGGCCCGAACATCCATGGTTATTAAAAAAAAAAAAGTGGTTCAAAATGAAGTTTGACCATTTATAAATGATTTATAAATTAGCTAACCAGAGGCTTAGTGTCATGCTCTTTCATTGACATCCACAGTATACTTTAACAGCTGAGTTTAATTGGGTATAATATGCTTAGACATTACTTTCCCTGTTTAGTACTCAAAATGCTAAACTACATAAATGGAAAGAAAAAGCCAAATCCAATCAGAATACTCACGCAAAGAATCTTGCTCATCCTCGGAGACCATTTCTCAAGGAATTCTCTAGCCTCATTGACAGCTGCATCCAATTCTTCACACTCTTTACACAAAATTTCATCTAGAGGCGCCTTATGATCAGCGACATTATCAAGTAGTGGTTTCAAATGCTTCAAGAAAGAAGCTATATTTCTGTAATCCTTCTCCATAGGCATACTCTTTGATATTCGACATGTTACCAGGTGAATAAATCGAGAAATGCTATTAGCAAGGCAACTTACTGAGTTTAAGTCCATTGACCTGTTTATAGAAGTCAAAACTTGAGCAATTAGAATTAACAAGTATTGTCTGAAGAAGAATCAGAATTTAAACTATTCTAAAGGATAATAGTAGAAGAAGGTAATTAAAAATTAGCCTCAAGAATGCCCTGTAAGTCACAATATTGATGCTGGGTTTCAAGCACAAGCTCTTATTTCAGAAGAATTGTTAATATATCTATATTGTATCGGAGTTAGAACTTCAATAATTTAGTTTTTCCTTAAATTTGTATAAGTAATCATAATCTAGCACTTAAGAATTGCTCCTCTGTACGATAAACAAAGCTTATGTTTGGCTCATGTTTATAAACTGTATATAAATGACAAAAAGAAAAAGGAATATACATAAAGCTCTCTAATAAACAAGAAGAGTTTCTTGATCATTTGCTCAACAAAAAGAGAATTAGTGCTAATTGATAAAAATAAATACTACTATTATCAGTAAAAATCCCGGAATCTAACAAATTACGGGCACCTACCAGGTACTAAACCCAAAAAGAAAAATGCAAATTATCAAAACAATAAAGTTCGAAAGCAACAGATAAGCCATTAACACTCACACAGAAACAATTAGAACTAACAAAAAAAAAAAAATGCATAATTTCCAAAAATTTATACAATTGAGCTAAACCGTTTGTACATAACAACGTTAAATTAAGAAGACATATCTGCAGCTGTACCTGGGGCTATAGATTAAAAGAGGAACGAAAACAGATCTCGACGAAACCCCAGAAAGAAACAAGCTTTACGATGAAAATCCCATTTCTTTGATCCATCAATCTTCAAGAATTAGCCGGAATATCCCCTTTATCATTTTTCAAGAATTGTTGCCAACCCTCTTCACAGTGCTTCATATTAGAGAGAGAGACAGCGCCGGATAATAAAATCAAGAAATAATAAAGAGGAAGAAAACAAAAAGGGATTAACTTTGTGGGTCCTTATTGTAGCTGCAAATTTGTTGATGTAGTGGGTGGAATTAACTAATTTGATGGTTCATAATTTGTTGTCATTATTAAACAATTAGGGCTATGAAAGATGCGTATTGATTCGGTTGAATGCGTGGTTTATTAAAGGATGAAGGAATAGATGCATTTGGCTTTCTAATTAACTGGAGTGATAATATCCATCCACAGCCTTCTGTATGATGAGAAACTTTGCCATGATGTGTTTCCACTTTAGGATTGTATTGCGTAAATTGACTAATATGCCCTCGGCTAGGGGTACTAGATTATTTAAAACCATGTAAGTCGAACCAAACTCATCGATTTGATTTGATTTGATTTCACTCGTAGAATTATTAGCTGACTCTGATCTAGTTATATCAAGGACTAAAATTATGATGGTAAAATTAAATCTTTGACCAAATAAAAAAACGCTCGAAACTCTTACGAGAATTGATTTACTATCTCAATGTTGAAGTAATTCTGAAATATCGATGAAGCAAGTTCATACATTAAAAAAGCAATATAGTCATCTAGTGTTCTGGTCACGTATAGCATTTCTCGAGAAACAATGCCAACTTAGATGGTAGAAAAATAACAATAACTGATTAATCATCTTTAACTATCTATTCTATGTAAGACGACAATATGAAATATCTATTCCATTTTTTAAAAAAGGCAAATTAATTATTGCGACTTAAATACCATCTACACTTGAGGGTAAACAATCTAAATAAATAGGGTAACTTTTATTAAGAGTAATGCTATTCATCCCCACTGGGAATGAAAATACAGTCTAGATAGCGCTAATGTGGCATTAAACGATAGGTGAAATTAAATAAGTCATTTAATTTCACCTTTCATTTCACCTATCATTTACAGCCACCTAGACTGTGTTTTCATCCCCACTGGGGATGAATAACATTACTCTTTTATTAAGGAGATACGAAAATAGAGACTCTCCCGCGTGCGCACTCCTGTATGTGTGTGTATATATATATATATAGCAATTAATGAAGCTATTGATTCTTTTTCCAAGGACCACCTAAAGCTTAACCATGATAAATGTTGAATACAATTGACTAAATCAAATGAATCTCTTAGCTGTACTCAATTGAATTTTTAATTCTTAACTTTGTACAAAACTAGATTGAATTGCTGAAGAAACACCACAAAAAAAATATAGAAAATTGATAAAAAGGAAATATTTAATAAAATAGATACAGATTTTTCGAGCTAAAAAAATAAAATATAAAAATAAAGGCAAACAACTCCACTGACCAAGAAGACTCTTTTTATCATCTGATCACCAAAAAAAAAAAGGAGAATTAAATTAATGTTCTCTACAACATGTGTTGTATCTAAAGTGAAAAATCATAATCAAACCAAGAAAGCTCCAAAGGAAAAGATGATTATTATATTTCCTTTAAGCACATTGGGTTCGTGGTTGAAGATGGCCCATCCAGCACTACACATGTCCACAGTTGACACGCGTGCAAAAGATAGAATTAAACAATATGATAACTCAGATTGTAACTTTTATATTTATTTGATAATGTCAAATAAAATATAATCTTCCATACAAGGCGATCACAGTAATAAATGAAATCTATAGAAGGGTTGTTGTTTTGTTCATTGGAAAGGCCAGCCCTACTAAACAAGTCAGAAATGCTTATCCTCAAATCACCACATCAAGCTTAATCTTTCTAATGACGTCATTAAGGTACTTGGTCCCACCCAAGTCAAATTAAATTAGATAAATGCATGCAGAAATTTTTCCCTTTTTTTCAATTGGGAAAGGAATAATGATATTCAGTCCACTAGTACTTAGCACCTGTCTATGTGATAGTAAAATTATTGCCACAATGTCGAATGAACAAAAAACTACTATAATTTCATTGAACAATGTGACAGTGACCCACTAATGCTTAGCACTTAGCACACTAACTTGTAGACTGGTGCTAAGCACCAATGAAGTTGAATAGCATTACTCAAAAGGAAAGTGAAGAAGACATTTTTGTGCCTAGTGCTTTTTTGAAACAAAGATATATAAGTACAACCAATGAAATGGGCATAAACACAAAATGATCTATTTAGAAACATTTCAGCAGTGCTCACCGTGCCAAGGTATTTTAATCTCGATGGTCAAACCTTTGATTTACTGCTAGCTCAATAATCTCAAATCCTGAAAGACTTCCCCGGAACTACCCCTTTCTCAAATCAAAATGCAAATTGAGACAATATAAACCACATTTCATGATGTAAAAGAATCCAACATCCTAGTCCACCACTAAAAATCTATTTAGAAGGTTTTAAAAGAAAACAAGAGATCTTGCAAAAGCCAAATGAGACGGTATATAATAACAAAAGAACAACTAGACAAAATTTCAGCATGTAAAAATGATTCAAGTTTTCTTCTTACTTCAGGATTGGAGATCAGATTGAGCTTCCGCTTAGCAACTCAACGAGCTCTTGTTTTTTAATCTTTGAGAATCCTTTCAAACCACGAGATTTTGCAATACCTCTCAACTCGGACAGCTTCATTCCACTTAAATTGGTAATGATCGGGTTCTCTTCTTCCGATTCTTCATCATTGTCACTTTCAAAAATTACAGAAGTTTCGTCTTCCGACATCTGATCAAACACGCCCCCTTCTGAAAAAATTGGCTCCACATCAGGTTCAGTATTAGTTTCCATCTCCTTGCTTTTCCCATTGCCACGTGAGACGGAATTAATAGGGCCCTCGTCTGAGTAAACCGGCTGAAATTTGACTTGGGGGACTGGAGACCTTTTACGGAAGTTAGATGCTGGCCTGCTAACATGTGGTCTTTGGCTTTCTTGCATCTCTTGCTTCACACTATTATTAGAGTCTAAAAAACTTGTGCTTCTGTCTTCAGAAAATGGACCTACCTGCTCGGGCTGGTCAAGGACAAAGTCCCTACTGCTGGCACTGTTGCTGTTTTTCTTGCCCTGCTGAACTGTGTGTTTCCTTAAAAGCTTGAGAAGAGTATCAACAGTCTCACTCTCTTTGCTTTTTCCTGTTGAATCCTCAATTTTCTTCTCTTCCTTGACTGCTGTTCTTTCACGAAGACGAGCCTGGACCTTTCGGAATAATTCAACAATTTCCTTTTCCCTAGGACCTGGAGTTGAAGTCACTTGAAATTTCGGGTTTTCGGAGACTGAAAGTAATGGCCCATTTTTTGAAGAAATAATTTCAGATTCTTCAAGGTTCTCATAACCTTCTCTCTCTTCATTGTACCTGTTCCAGCTGCGGGAGAACCCACTTTTGTTTTGCTTTGGAAAATCTGGGTTTCTTCTATACTTGCCAGAACTTGCATTGCATGCAGAAGGCCTGCCCCTAGAGGCACATGTCAAGGAAAAAAACTTCACATCAGAAATGACTTTGTGGTGGTCACCACGAGTAGTGCAAGCCGACACTGCTCCTCCTGAAACTCCCGAGCAAGGGAGACATCCCTCCTGTGGCCCATATCCTGCAATGAAATTTAGAAGCACCTCATCTGTGTAAAAAAGAAATGGGAAAATCCCAAAGCAAAAGGCAAAATCCACTGGGCACCCAGTTCATGTGTTGCTCCCAAAGATAAGATCTAACACTTTTTTGTTCAAATAATTGGAAGGTAATAGATTGCATAAATAATTCCACATTTGACATTAACATCTCAACATTAAATCAAGACAAACATAAAGCAAATCTATTACGAGAAATAGTACATTTCATGCTATCCATCACGACATAGAAAAAAACCCTGAAATTTCAGCTAAATGCAAGATTTCAAGATAAAGGAGTGGATAAACAAAGATTTCACAAACAAAAGAACAATTTAAGCATCTTGGTCTTGCAACTTTTGCCGTGTTAAGGTTACCTAGAAATCAGACTGCCGTGAATCAAGAAGTTAACGCTATATTTTTTGATGTCATAGATATCTTACAGTCACAGCTCGTAACTACATGAAAGGAATCATGAGGAATAAAGCCAGACACATTATAACAACTCTCAGGAGTCCATCAGATGTATTGCAAATGGGCCCCATGGTCAATCCAAGTACTCGATGGTAATTGATGGGTTACATGGTTTAAAAACTTGGAATGAATTGGGTCTCTCCGAAATTGAAAATGGTTTTATACTTAGATCTTCATGGCAATCAAATGCCCATACTGGTTGTATCCTTTAAATTGCCCCATTTAGTGGGATAAAAATAGAACCGGTATCTCTAAAAGCATGGAGAGGTAATAAAAAGCTAACCCATTTCCCCTGATCCACTTCAATAACTTCAATTGGAATCCAATTCACATATACTTGCAAGTTGCCACAAGTCAAAAAACCATATAATTCAGTTTTCTCACATGCTCTTAGAAATTAATATTTTGAGCAGCAAGATAAGCTATAGCCCAAATATCACATTACTTTATGTGAGCAACAGATTTAGAAACCAAATGAATCATCAACTGTGGTTAGAGTCTCGTGTTCTTGACCATTTCATGCCTCCATATAATTATAAGTAGAACATTAGTATAATGAGCTACCTACATAAATGTGCTATTTCAAGTTCAACACATTTACTATAATTAAATCATCTGTACAAGTACACCAGCATTTAATTCCTAGTCACATATTATTGAAATTTTCTACTTCTATAAAAGAGGAATTCATCTAAAAGGCCTTAAATTGGAGACATAATATGAAAAAAGACTCACCTTCTCAAAAAATTTGGAACTGACCTTATATAACTCTTAAAAATTCCAACATACCTTTCATCATGTGTCCCCAAGGGCGGATCCAGCACCCGGCGAGCCGGAGCGGCCACCCGTGCTGGATCCCTAGAGAAAAAAGATTTAAGGAATAATTGTTAGTGCATAAATGTTAAATGATAGGTGGTGTAGCTCAAATGGTAGAGCGCTCACTCTCCATGCGAGATTGACGGAGTTCGATTCCTTTCACGTTCACTCCTTCTTTTAATGTTTTAACATATAGTAATAAATAAAAACTGTACCAACCTTTAACCCAAAAACGGTGTATCTTACATTGTGAAGTACTTGCTTTGAATTCAAAAGACTTTAGGTTAGATTCCAGTCACTTCCTCTCCTCCTTTTAATTTTTTTAACAAATTAAATTAAGGCACCGTTTGGTAACCATTCTTTTTTTCATTCACATTCTTCTACTCATTTTCAACCACACATTCTTCAATAAAATAATATTTACCGTCACATCAATAATTTTTCATTCTTTTTCAACCACACATTCTCCATCAATTTACTATTTCAAAATACATTCTTCTAAAATAATGTGGCTCAAACACACACAGTCCGTAAAATTTCATCTAAACTTGAATTTGATATTTTTACTTGTTTCATAGACTTGTAAAAATGTAAAACTTGCCTAATTATTTATTTATATTTGATAAAAGAACCCCCTNAGATTTTATCAATTTATTTTGTAAATTAAATTTGGACAAAACATAGTACTGCTCTTTTTTTTTTCTTTTTAGAGTTCGAAAAACATTGAGTCGAAAATAGTTTTAGTTTTAAAAATCATCGTTTTGCATAAACTTCGCCTAAACTCAAAGTTTGTCTTTAGCGTATAATCATAGTTTACGTATAAACTCCATCTTGTCTCGTTTAAATTCGTAAAAACTTGAAACTTGATCATCCATATATGATTGACAAATGCATATTTTTTAATTATTTTGGGTTGTGTTGAATTATATTTTTATATGTATATGACTTTTATGTTTGAGTGCATTTATATATTGATGATTGAATTTTTTTAAATATTATTTAATTAAATATTAATAAACTATCTCACTATTGGTCAACAATCGTCCTAGCCGACTTAATATCCTGGATTCGCCACTGCCACTTTGTGTCCCCGTTCTCATTGTCTTATTCCCATCCCCACATCCCGGCCCCAATGATAAGATTAATGGAGGGTTTGATTTGTGTGGTGAACACGGTGCTAGGGCTTTTCTTACTAAGAATTAGGAATATGTGTAAAAAAGCCACTAAGAAAAACTGATATTTATAAAATTGTAAACTAAAAATTACAAAAAAAAAAAAAAAACCATATTCGCTGAAACTAACAACACTTGTTCCCAAAGAAAACATGCATCCGTAAGCACAGAAAGTTCAAGCAATAAAAAATATAAAACAAAATTATTAGCTCGAATAATGCGAAACACTATTTAAACAATCATTTCATCAAGCAGATGGTGAGCATCGTCAAAATCAACGAACACCAACAAACTTCAAACATGAAAACGTTAATGCAGAAGAATATTCCTAAAATTCCATAAACTATAAAACTCCAATCAGAAATGCTGGTGCTTGGTGAGAGCATGTTTACGACACTTCTAGTAAGGAAAAGCAAAACAAGAACTTCACTCAAACAAACCCAAACCTGGAATCGTATTGGAGATGAAATGAATTGCACGCGACATGCTTGAAAACAGCAAGAAGAAGGTGTTCTTCAATGGCGGTGTTGCATTTCACACGTAGACACGTGTTAATGGTGTTTTCTGTGTGCAATTGCTATATATGGCAGATAAGAGGTTTGTATTGGGATGATCCCATTGATTTAGAATGGGCCGATTGGCTAAAAATCGCTCGGCCCTAATTAATTTGGATCCAGCCCAATTAAACCCTTTCCTCTGGAATTATGAAACATTTCAGGGATAATTACATAAAACTAACTGTTTACTTTTAAATTTATGAAATTCAGGTTTAAACTTTTTGTAATAAAAAATCAGACTTTATCATTTTTTAATTAATAATGATAATATAAAATTAAAATAACATATATACCCACCCTATTACCTACCCCTACCAAATTTATTTTAAATATAAAATCTTAAATCTACCCGAAATCTTAACCTAATCCATTTCATTTTCATTTCTCTCCTCTCACATTTCTCCCACCACGCCGCTGCCGCCGTCACCTATCCCACTACGCCGCCTCCCTCCCCCCTCCCTCTGTTGCGATCGCAGCAGCGTCGCTGCTGCTGAACAGCGACGCTTCTGAACGACAGCCCCTTCTCCCTCCCTCTCCATCCCTTCCCTTCCCCTCCCCTCCCCTCCCCCTTCGCAACAGCGCCACAACGACGCTGCTGCCCCTTCCCTCTCCCTTTCCCTCTCCATCCTTATGTGCCTTGATGCAGTGATGTGCAAAATACATTGTTCTTTTCCTTTACTATTTCTTCTAATTCTGTTATGCGTAGACTCTGACGAACAGCTAGTACTGGTAGTCTATTACGCGACGCTCCTGGGGTGTGTGGGTGTGGCGGATTAGCTGTTGTTGTTTGCTGTGGGTGGCGGATTGGTGGTTGGCTGTTGATGTTTGCTGTTGTTGGTGGCGGATCTATTGTTGGTGATTGGCTGTTGCGGGCAACGGATCTGTTGTTGTTGGGGGGCTGTTGCGGGCGAATTTGTTTGTGTCATGGTAGGTGGCGAAGGTCGGCGGATTGGGTTTAGTTTTCGTCCTATCGTGTGTTTTGTGGCTCGTTAGTTTTTGTGTTCGTGTGGTGGAGATAAAATGATCGTTCGTGTGATGGTGTTGTGATAGGGCCGACGATATTGGTGGTGTTGTGCAAGTGGTGTTGTGCAGGGGGCGACGATAGTGGTTGTTGTTGTGTTGTCGTTGGAGGGTGGTTGTGACTGTGGCAGTGGCGGTAGGTATGGGATGATGTGTATTTGGTCGATTTGTGACATATGCCCATGTATTTGTAGGGTACTGGGATTGGGAGATAGGTTCGACGGATGGGATGAAGTGTCTGTGATCGACCATTTGGTCGATCTGTGACTAAGTATTGGTGGTGTATTGAGATTGGGACTGTGACCTTAAAATTCGTTAATATGTGACTGAAAATATAACACGTGACCAACAAATATGGAATAATTTTTTTAAGTTGTGATCAATTAAAAATCTGTGACCTCCATAAAAAAATAATATGTGACCTGTAATTTTTTTATCAGTGACCAATGGAATCAATTGTGAATGACTCAATCTTTTGATCTATGATCTCGAAATAATATGTGACCAATTAATTTAATAACTTGTGACTGAAAATTAAACTTTTAACTACTTAATAAGATATCTGTGACTTCGAAATCGAAGCTGTTATCGGAATTAAGCGGCGGCGAAACGGTCGCCGGAATTAAGTGTGGCCGGAGAACAGTCGCCGGAGTAGTTGCCGGAGCAGTGAGGGTGGTGGAGATGGAGGTGAAATGGGTGGGTGGATTAATTATATTATATTACAGTTAAATATTTAATTTAATATAATAATTGTGAAATATAATTAATTAATTTATGAAAAATCTGATTTTTGCAATTCTAAACCCTAAGGCTTGATTCTTGATTTTGAGATAGATAAAACTTGAGTTGTGAATTTTTCCCAACATTTTAGGATATACTTGGTATATCGTATTAGACAGTATTAAAATAATATTTAACATATACGAGTACGTCTGGTACTTAGATCATATAAGGATTAAAATAATTATACCTATTCTATTGGTGCAATTTATATTCGAATTAAATTAATCTGGAAATTTATAATACGATCTTCTAATATGATATAACACCAAATGTTATATTAAAAAATCATCCACAATTCCGTCCTCTCTATTATTATAGCTCCTAATTGTATCCCCTAATCTAGTACAATGTACATTGTATCGAACGATGTCTACATGTATGTCACTTAATGACCATATATAGGAAATAGAGAGGAGTAGGATAAGCGAAATGCTAATTTACTCCGATAATAATCTTTATTATACTATGTAACGCTTTGAAAGTTTGTACCATTTTTATAATATATCGTGGGTAAGATTTATTGATTTTATGATTAAATCAAAGAATTAATTAAGTTTATATTGAAGTGTGATGACAATAAGTTCCTGTTTGATAATCATTATTTCAAAACTCTTTAATTTTCATACTAATTTTCAACCATACATTTATACAATAAAATATTTTGCACGTAAATTTAAAACTTTTTTCCACTTTTTAACCACACATTCTTAAAAAAACATCATTATTTAAAGCTCCATTTTCTCAAAATAATGACCATCAAACAAGGGCTAAATAGAGAGGATAACTCATGTTGAACAACTATCCTCATTATTCCACCATGCTTTTGAAATGCTTTCAATATATGCGACTTACAGAAAGAAAGAAAAGAGGATGCAATTTTGTCTAACAAGACACATTTTTGCTGATTTTGACAACAAAAGTAATGCAAAAACAGAATTTTTTTTCCTACCAAGTCAGCATTTAAGGCAACTCAGTAGAAAAAATGCCTAAACTAGAACAAAAATGAAAGTTGAGTGACTATAGGAACACAAAGTTGAAATTGGGTGACTAATACTCTTTTTAACCCAAAGACAATGCACATCCAATGCAATATTTTTGTGTCAGCAAATCACTTCAATAGTAAAAGGTAAATAAACAAAATGTACCCTCGAAAATTAATAAACCTCAATCCAGCACAGCATCCTCAAAAACAATGGTGAACTCAGTATTCCATGAAGGCCATTAACATGCCATTGTTAGAAAGAGCGAGAACCAACATTGAGATGAGCTTGCAAAACCAAATATTCTAATAGGTGATCATTTAAAGGATCGGCTACCTTTATTTTAGATGTTGCCAACTTGAGAAGATGAGAAAAGGTCTGATAAGAAAACTGAACGACAAGATCGTACATGGAAATAAAGCAAAGCTTTTCTCCTTTCAACTCATGTCTATGCTTTGTGATTTTTTGCCATTTCATCGACATCCAGTTCGACTTCCAGAACAGGTAAATCCTTCCTTGCACTAAAATGACTGATGAAGTAACATAACATTTAATCAGGAACGAAAATTCTCATGAAGTTAAATAATAATTATTTGCCAAATATCGAAAAAAGGCTAACCTATTGTTTACAGGTCCATGATCCACAGCCGTTCTAAGGCAATATATCACTCTGCCAATAATGTCTGTCATAGAAACTGGACCAAATGTCCGGCTATCGTATGCTTCCTGCTACAAGAGAGATCCAAAACATGACAAATCAGTGCAAAATGAATTCCAAAAAATTTCATTAGAAGGGATAGTCATGGTTAGTTTGTTTTTAAAGGTAACGTATTCACCAAGCAACTTGATTCTTTTACTCTGCTATACTTGTAAATGAATACAAAACTGTTTGGGAAGCATTATAATTTCGATCAAAGTCAAACATTAATTTTAACCACGACCCACAACTAGTACTCACTTATTCACCACTCATTTCTATCACATTATGGCCTCTTGTTTGAACTACATTTTTTTAGAATAGATTTTGTAAAAAGTGACTTTTTTGAGATACATGATTAAAAAGTAAGAAAAAGTTTTGATTTTACGTGCAACGCTATTTTATAAGGAGAATGTGTGATTGAAAATGAGTTTCAAAGAACATAGCTGAAACAGGGGTATAATTTTAGCAACTAACATTTTTATGCAAACAAGCACGCACTTGAATCATCATTTGCTTTGTGCCTATTAGAACTAGGCTAAATTTCATCTTTCTAAGGCACGACAAGAATGTTCCGTGAAGCTTAAAAAGTTTACTTATGTTAACAATAAATTATGAGCTAATTGAGTAACTTTTGGACTTATCAGTTGGTTCAATAATGTTCGACGACAAAAAAATTTACTTCAAAATAACTTGTACTAATTTTTAAGCTTTGCAAAACATGCTCTAAGCTTTCTAAACGACAGTACACAACATCGAAATTTAGGAACTAATAAAATTTTGCCCACCCAATGATGTGCAGGTACTGTGAAGAAATAATTATTAGACATAAAGGTTCATATACCTTAGGCTTCATATTTTCATTGTCAGCTAATACCCAACACTGATCCTTCTCAAGGACAAAAGGCTCTTCCTTTTCATCAGTAGAAGCCATCTCGTACCCTTCAATAGCGGCTAACCTCCGAACAAGATACTTCTCTGTGCTCATAGGGTCCTTTAGAACTACAACGTCTCCAACATATACTCTCCTGTCACAAACAGATACTGGGTATTAAAAGCTGAGACATAAGCCTCCACCAAAACGTGGAACCAAAATATGCCCCAAATTAACTGTACAACACAATGGATTCTGAACTGTGAGTAAAACTTGATTGCTGGTTAATAAGTTTGACCAAATCACAACTTAATCAGGAAAACTGCATTACGAGCTTGTTTTGCAATCTAAAGAGTTTGCTTACAAGTAAAGAAGTAAGTTTTAAAATAAATAATGTTTTATATTAATCAAATTTGGAAATAACTTATTTTAATAGTAAAGTAAGAGTTATTAAAGAAAAAATGAATCATCCAAACATGTTAGGGGAAAAAAAGAGAGAAAAAAAACTACTTTAAAAAGTAACTTCTACTAATTTTTTAGCTTAGTCAAACGTAACGATTGGAATGCTAAATCAGCCTTATTAATACTGAGAAATTTATTTATGAACAGAGGCATCATCAGATTAAATTAAAATTATGATTATTTGTCAGAGTCAAGATATCATGGCTAAGCCGTGCAAAGAATTTTAGAATTTGTATTTGGGGCTGGTGTCAATAGAGGATAAGGAATATTTAATATTAATACTAATAGCTGATGTGCAGGTGTTCTGTGTACATGAAAGATGAAAAGAGAAAGAACAACACTGATCTAAACTTGGCACAAGTTCTGAGCCATTAACCCTTGTGTTTACAGTGAAATCAGAAACATGATTTTGCCCCCCAAAAAAAAGAGAGCGTGGAAACCAAGAGAACTTTAAGAAACTATTTCTGTAATTTTGTCAAAGACTCGAATGACATGATTCAAATTTTCACATCTTTTTGTGGTATAACAGTGACCCATTGTGCAAGAGATAGCACCAAAATTGCAAGCTGGATAGATATATAGTTTAAAACATATATCATGCAGCTCAGCTAAAAATTGATATTGCCGGTCAAATCACTTAAAAGACTCATAATTCCAATACCAGATTTAATTTCAAGGAGGATTGAAACCACCACTACAATTCTAAAACACCTATTTAGACACTGAAGTCCATGTGAGATTCAACCATATACGTGTATGAAGAAGCGACAAATCAAAAGAATAATAAAATAACAAAATGGTCACAATAAA